TAAATACATAGCACCTTTGTCTATTTTATAAACTAGTCTCTTTTTCTGGGTGATTAAACTTTTTGTTTTTAGGTTTGCTGTAAGGTTAACGTTGAAAACTTGAGTTGTTTTGCGTCAGGTAGCATGAACAAGCGATTCCTTCCGACGCAGAGATAAAAGGTTAGAGACCGGTATTTACGTAGAACTGAAAAATAGGCATGATTAACACCAGGTTCGCTAGCGCTTCATTCAGTGCTCTTCGTTTTACTGAATTAATCATTGTAGGTTTCAGGTCACGTTTTAATTTGTTGTTGATTAAACGTCTGCTTTTGAATGATACGCAAACGTACTAGGTAATGAGAAATCTACTTTTCAACAAACACAGGTGGTCCAACAAGAATGGTTTAAGAAAGTTCAAAACAATTAAAACGCTCAAATTCTTGCAATTTGTATATCTTACGCTTGCTTCACCGATGGAAACGTAACATAAACCGACCAACGTATAACAGAGTAATTGAAGCGCAACAAATTCTCGGGTTATCGGAGTTTACTGTAGACACAATGAAAGGATCCAGACATCGCTACTCGTCTTGAGTTACCGATCGATATTTAAGGGTTAAGTAAACATTTACTAACGGTTTCCTGCCGTGCTGTTTTGCTAACAAAAGACCTTTCATTTGTTATGAAGAGGGGATATCTGCTTTTCCAATAATGCAGCGGCGAGGCGCACGTCACTTCGTGGGCCGAGAGGAATGTTGGTACAAAATTATCAAAAGTCTCTCCATTCAACAGCTTTTAGTTTAATTGACCAATTCCGATTACGCAATTCCGACTTTAATCGACCAATTCCGATTACGCAAATGACAGATAGGTAAGTAACACATCCGTTGTTTTTATTGGATTGTTCTACAAGGCATTGTTTTAATTCCTTAAGTCTTCTTTCATTTGCTTTAACCTTATAACCCCTCATGCATATGCTGAAACCACCCCATTGCACATCTGAACTTGTTTGTCTAAAATGCCTATGAAATCCTATTTGTGAGCTGAAAATGAACAGAGAGCCGCAGCCTGAACAATTGCAGAAAAAGTCTGAAGAACTATTTGAGCCCTTAAATTAGCCTATAATGATTCTGATGTTATAGCTCTATACATACCGAGCTATGAAATCACTTGCAACATGTCTCGCCTTGTTGTAAAACCGCTAATCGGTGATAAAAATACAACGAAGCTAGCATGTTAATAACTGAATTACAACATCAAAACGGCGCTGAAGAAAAGTAAGACCAAAATTTTACTCATTCGTTTTGCTGTTGTAATTTACTAATTAATATTCTAGATTCGTTGAATTTATATCACACCGATTAGTGACATTTTTCCAATTTTAAGCCATGTGTATTAAGTTTGCAAAATTGAAAATCACGGACACATTAACACGGATTCCGTCAGTTCAAAGTGCGAGCAATAAGTGCAAAAATTATTTACTTAAAATCTACTCATAGCTCGGTAACTTTTTGAATACTATTTAAAACATCTCAGACTCACAGTAATTCATTCATTTAGGTGACCCCGCGATTAAATTCTCAAGCATTCTCGAGAAAGTTAATGTCAAATCTGGTGAGAATGCTTAATGCCTGTGTTATTGTGTTTTCCACTAACGCAAAACGTCCGTTTTAATTGAAATATGGATAACTTCAAGTTCAATTTTCTTTTGCGGGGTCAGTTTGAGAGCTTAACTCTTGACAAGTTCTTCTTACCCTTATTCAAAATATTACCACGCTATGAGATTTTTTTGGTAAATTCATTTTTGCCATTATTGCTCGAATGTTCTGCGGTAATCATCTTAATTATTCTCAGGCTATAATAAGCTTACACTTATTTTTCAACATTGATGTTAATAAATGGTTTATGGAACTTTATAATATACACAAACCAATTTTAACCACGCTTCAATAAACTGTCTTTAACCTGTTTTAATAAGCTTTGAACGGGTATTATCAATGATATTCAATTAGTTAAGAGCATTTCTATCAGAGGTACGACCTTTACGCCGATAGAATTGCGAAATAATGCAGCACAATGTTCAATATCTCATATCGAATGGGCACAAAATAACTGACAAAACTCAGTGAACTGAATCTGGTGTAAAGTCAGACACTTACATCAGGGCATCTCAAAGACATTTTTAAAGCTTGTCAAGTTTACAGGTTTTGTCTCTTTCGTGCCATCTTGCAATACATAAAAGAGTGTTAAGTTCGCTCTTCGAATGCACGGCTACGATTTTAAAATTGCCAACAAAAAATTGGCCAGATCGATGCGACTTTAAAATGTCAATGCTTAGCGTGGATTCAGGGTCTCATAGTAAACAAACTCTACAGAGAAGTTGAAACTTAAAGATTATTCCAAGTGATTTCGTCAGCTGAAAACGCGTAAACCTGAACTTCCCGTTTAGAAATCCCAAATTTTCTCTTTAAGGGTAACTGTAAAGACATGCACATTCTATATATATACATTCTGGAACCACACAAAAACATTCTTTGTGGTTATAAATAATGGTAATTGCGACTTTATATTTATAAATAACAAACGCTTGACGAGATATGACAGCGGACAGGATGAAAGGAATATCAGCATCGACTTCGTGAAAAATATTTTGCAATGAGCGGTATACGCTTCAAAATATAAAAAAATTTCCACCTTTCAGATGTTTCAAACAACTAAAGGGTCACATACAACTTTGCAGCCAGATGAACCATTTATCTCCATAATCCCTAACTGCACACTTAGCTGGTAAAGGAAAGGAAGCTGTGGATTCACAGAGTCTTTTATTGAATATTGCTGCAAATCAGTCATGGAGGCTTCTAGTAAAGGGCCTGGCTGAAAATGTAAAGCACAAAACTATTTGTATTTATTCATCATCATCGACGTAGCTGCACTTAGATGATTTGCCCTAAGGCAAGCTTTTTACCTTCAGGACAATTAATATTGCAAATTAGTCGGCAAAAATACCTGATCTGATTAACGATTGATGTTCTTGCGTGCATCATCTAGTTACGATGCACGAAGGAAGTTTGGAGAACACATAAGAAGTAAAAGAGTTGCTCGAGGGGCTGCCAAGAGCGACTTTAGCTAACTAGATGATGCACAGCTAAAAGCATGAATCAACTGTTGAATCATTGCCAGTAGAAGCAGCGAACTACTGAAGTTAATTGTACTCGCCACGATAGAACATAGCACTTAAACATAGTAGCGCGATATATATATATTTCAAGGGCTCTCCAGATGCCACCATAAATTCAATTTTGACCTCAACGATCCCTTTGTGGGCATTTCACCAAATAAACATTTGCCACAACGCCCATTACGAAAACCTTTTACCTGTTGCTGTCCATCAAGTATAATCTTTATTACCGAAATTAAAAGTAATGCATCAAATTTCAACTGTAATAAGCTTTC